CCGAAGACAAAGGCTTATCCGACTAAGCCACCCAGGGGCCCCCACATCAAGGTACTTCTATACTTAAAACTGTCCTGTGGTTTATCATCACATTAGAAGTTAAACTCCTTGCCAGGGTTCCCAAGACGTGTGTGACCTTGCACTGCCCCCTCTGATGTCCTCTCAAAACTCTCACACCCTTCTTCATCCTAGTACAGCCACACTGCTTTCTCTCCTCTTCTTCAAGACTGCAAGTGTCTGTGAGCAATCGGGTCTGTGCAAACACTCTGCCTGCAAATCATCAGGGAGCTATTGTTCAGATTTCAAATTAAACGTCAGTTCCTCAGCCTGGCTTTCTCTGATGGCTCAGTCTACAACTGTTTCCCCTCCTCTGTCCTCTTCAGATTTCTTTCTTTCTTTTTTTTTTTTTAAAGATTTTATTTATTTATTTGAGAGAGAGAGAGACAGTGAGAGAGGGAACACAAGCAGGGGGAGGGGGAGAGGGAGAAGCAGGCTTCCCGCGGAGCAGGCAGCCCGATGCGGGGCTCGATCCCGGGACTCTGGGATCATGACCTGAGCCGAAGGCAGTCGCTTAACCAACTGAGCCACCCAGGCGCCCCTCTTTTTTTTTTAAGATTTTATTTATTTTTCAACAGAGAGAGAGAGACAGTGAGAGAGGGAACACAAGCAGGGGGAGGGGGAGAGGGAGAAGCAGGCTTCCCGCGGAGCAGGCAGCCCGATGCGGGGCTCGATCCGAGGACCCTGGGATCATGACCTGAGCCAAAGGCAGACGCTTAACAACTGAGCCACCCAGGCGCCCCGTCCTCTTCAGATTTCTTAAAACTACTTGTCATTAATACAATTTTGTTGTCCTCTGTCTCCTCCACTGTAATGGGAGCTACAGGACTGCGGGGACTTTTCCCCATCATGTATCCCTAAGGTGCAGTAACTGGCATATGCTAGCTGCTCAGAAAATATTGGGTGAATGAATGTATGACTTTGATATAATGTGCCTTTAAGATGACCTTTTCCCTGTATTTGGTCGCTACTTATTGCCTTGTCTGCCTCGCACATTCCTGTATCTTCGGTGTAGGGCAGGTCGTGGCAGGTAGCGGGGCTGGAGTCAGTAACTAGTTGTTGAATGAATGGATGAGATGACAACACTTCCAAAAATCTTAAAGTCTAGAGTGGAGAGAATCGCTGCTGTCACAGAATAAGCAAGGGACTGGGAAACCTCTGGAGAAACGGAGATCAGGAAGGGCAAGCCTCAACCTGTAAGCCAAGGATTATTCCGGCGAGACTTGGGCTTCAGGAGGAAAACCTCTTAGCATTGCCAAGTCCGGGATCCTGTGGACCCTGCGCGGAATCCAAAAGAAAAATCGCACATGATAATAAGTTGTACCAGGTATCCAGCAGATTACCAGTGTTCAGTAAATGCTCACTAATTCTTTTTTTCTTTTTTTAAGATTTTATTTATTTATTTGACAGAGAGAGACACAGCGAGAGAGGGGACACGAGCAGGGGGAGTGGGAGAGGGAGAAGCAGGCCCC